TCAGCTGTGCTGCTGCCATCAGCGCTTTTTATAGATGCTGGAGATCAGCCTGTTTTCCAGTGTAGTCCTGTTTCTCTGACTATGACTAACTGGATGTGCTCTCTTCATCCTCTGACATGGGAGCTGGCTCGGAGCTCGTCTGCCTGGCTGTGTGTTTCCTGGATGGGGCCGCCTTTTACAGCTGCTTTTTGTGTCTCTGCTTCTGTCTCCTTGAACCCCAGTCGCCTTGGCAGATGGCCGCTCACACTGAGCCTGGTTCTGCTTGAAGTTTTCTTCCTGTTAAAAGGGAGTTTTTCCTCTCCACTGTCGCTACAAGCATGCTTAGTGTGAGGGATTGCTGAGTCAATGAGTCGATGCAATCGACTGGTTTTCCTTGGATAGAAAACTTTGAATCAATTTGACTGGATGATCTGGTGAACTGGAAAGTGCGTTGAGATGACATATGTTGTGAATTGGCGCTATAGAACTAAACTGAATAGATTTGATCCTGTTAGGAACACATGTACTCATTCAGAGCATCCGTTCCTATCACACAACACTGAAAACATTTCCCCACCAGGTGTTAAATTGATTGATAAAAATGATAACCTGAATCTTAAAATTGGAATAAGCAGAGAGCTTTGAATCATTTTTGGATCAGAGGCTGTTTACGGGGGGGTCATTAAATACCTTCATGCTATGGAAATGATTGAAGGAGTGACTGCGGGCGGGTGTGTTCTCCAGGCTGCCTCCCTGGAAGCTCAGTGATTTCTTCTTCTCCCTGAGGGTGCCTTGCCGGTGGCGGCGAATCCTCTCCATCTGCTCCTCCACGCTCATCCGGGGCCGGCTGCCGTCCACAGCACACAGCTGCTGCTCCACGGCACTGTGTGGACGTTCCTGGCCAGAGATGAAAACAAAGTCAATCTTTATTTGAGCAGGAAAGTTACAACAAAGAAAAGAAAAATACTATTATGTAGTAGGGCTGGGCGATATGAAGAAAATCTAATATCAGGATATATTTGGGCTATATACACGACATATATATCACAAAAACAAATAGATTGCAAAAAATTGCACTGATAAACTAATTCAAACTAGGGATGCACGATATAATCGGCCCCCTATCGGTATCGGCCTTAAAACTGAATATCGGACATCGGCCACCCCACCGA